TCTCTCCCTCCCTCCCACTCTATCTGAAGATAAATGGGAAAAAAATATCCTCAGGTGAGGATTAAAAATAAGGAAATAAATAAAAATAAAAAACTATACTCCATCTATTGAACCACCTACCTGATTTCCTGACTGGACCCTAGTAGCAGCTGTGGATTATCTGTAGCAGGTTTTCAATCCCACTGCTGTACAGCCCAGGTGGTGAGCACTCTTGTATGCACCTTAAATTTAATATCCACCAAGAGAAGAAAATGGGAGGAGAGAGGGAGCAGGAAAGTGAACTGTCAAAAATTTGGCTAAATCCAAATCTCTGCCCATGTCCCCCTGCACACTGCACGGCTGAACCCAGCTAGAGAAGAAACACAACCATGTTGTCCAGTCTCACTTCAAAGTCATGATCACTATCTTACAGTGGGATCACAATGCTGCCCGGCAGTCATCCTGCAGTTCCCTACACCATTCGCTCACCTGCTCTCCTAGGTGACTGTTCCAATCCTGGTCTTCTCTACTTAAACCCCTCATACCACCTCCTCTCCATCATCACTCTCAGCTAGTGACCTTGCTTCCTGTTTCACTGAGAAATTGGAAGCATCCAGAGAGAATAAGCTCCCACCACCACATCTCTCCACCTACAACCTCCACCCATTTATTCTACCTTCTCTCCAGTAACTGGGGGTGAAAGGTCCACACAACAGGCAAGATCTATTTCTTATGCATGACACCTATTCTTGTCTACTCGGGAATATGGCTCCAAAAATTCTCTTTTCTCTCTTCTGCACTATCAATTTTCCCCTTTCTATTAGGTCTTTCCCATCAGCACACCATTATTTGTCATTTAAAAAATTCTCTCTTGATTACACTGCCCTCTTACTTCTCTCTTCTCTTTCAGCAAACTTCAAGAGAGTTGTCTTTGCTCTCTCTCTTCCTCCTATTCTTTTTCAAGGCCACGCCACCTGGCGTTTGCCTCCACCATTCTACTGAAACCACTCTTGTCAAAGTCACCAATGACTTTGCATTGCTAAATCCGATGGTCGGTTCTCAGTCCTCATCTTACCAGACCTTCCGCAGCATCTGGTGTAACGGGTTCCTCCTTCTCTTCACCGCTAAATGTTGGAGCATCCAGGACTCGATCTTTGGATCCTTTCTCTTTTCTACCTACACTTCATCAAGTCTCATGACTTTAAATTCCATCTACATTTCGCTTGGTGCCCACATTTATACTTCCTGTCTGGATCTCTCCTCTGAGCTCCAGGTTCTTATATTCAACTGCTTACTCAATATCTCTAGTTAGACAGCTAATAGGCATCTCAAATTTAATAAATCCAAAACTGAGCTCCTAATACTTCACCTTCAGACAGGGGTAGATCCATCAGGAAATCCTATTGACTCTATCTTCAGAATATATCCAGAAACTGACTACTACAACCTTCATCCATGCCCTAATCATCTCGTGCAAAGATTATTTCAATAGTCTATCTGGTCTCCCTACTTATATCCTTATCCTCTTTCATTCTAGCCTCAACATAGCCACCAGAGCAACCCTCTAACACATGTCACGTCATACCACTCCTCAGCTCACTACAACTAAAAGCTAAAATTGTCACAGTGGCTACAAGCCCCAACAAAGTCTGACCTCATCTCCCCCTCATTTATTCTGTTCCAGTTACACTGGCCTCTTTGCCTCCTTGAACACTCCAGGCATGCTTCTAACTCAGAGCCTTTGCTTTTGCAATTTTTTTCTGCATAGAATGTTTTTTCCCTTACATATCCTCCCTCCCTCCGCCATATCATCTCTGAAATGTTATATTCTCAAGGTGGCCACTCTGACCACTCTATTTAAAATTGTGTCGTCTCCTGACACCCTCTATGAGCTTTCCCTACTCTAATTTTCTCCCCAACACTGATTTCCATCTAATAAATTATTTTTTATTATTTTGGTCTATTGTCTTTCTTTCCTCACTAAAGTATAAACTCCATCTGGCCAGGAGATTTATCTGTTTTCTCATTGCTATGTCCCCAGAGTCCAGCACAGTGCTTGTCATAGTAAAGAACATGAATGAATAAATGAATGAATAAAGCCAGAGAATCAAACTCCCCTGAATCCTACCAACCTCTGGGCTTATTATAGAAGTCAAAAATGTGCTTTTTGTCAGGTCAGACAGAGTTGGGTTCTCTGTTTTCTTGTACTTTAGCAGAAGTCAGCCTAATTGATGCCCATACGATCTCATGTAATCCTCATGCCAGCTCTGAGAATTAAGTATCGTCTCTCCATTTTCCAGATGGGTAAGGTGAACCCCAGAGAGATGAAGTTACCTACCAGAGGTCACACAGCACAGATAGCATGTCACAGAGCCCAGATCCCCAGCCTGTCAACTGGTGCCAAAGCCATGAGTTCTAAGAGGCTGCAGCTCTGTATGTAGACCACCCTCCCCAGACACTACACCAGAGCTGAACTGAGTCAGGAGCCACAGGAATGGAGGGCCTGGGGGTTGCCATTAATCTTCACAAAAGAAATGCTTGCACCTTGGCCAGTTTGGCTCAACCATTAGAGTGTCAGCCCGTGAACCAAAGAGTCTCGGGTTCAATTCCAGTTAAGGGCACGGACCTCATACCTCGGTTGTGGTTTGGTCCCCAGCCCTGGTTGGGGTTGTGTGGGAGGCAACCAATTGATGTATCTCTCTCACATCAATGTTTCTCTCTCTCTCTCCCCTGCTATCTGAAAAGTTAGTGGAAAAATATCCTCTGGTGAGGGTTAAAAAAGAAAAGAAATGCTTGCTTCCTCAAAACCATCAAATATCAGATGTCAAAATAATCATCTTATTTCCTGCATTTCATAATCTTTATTGTTGTTGTTTGCACAATTATTGTCTGCCTCTCCCCTTAGACTCCTCCCCTTTCTACCTATCCCCTGCATTTAGTACAGTGAATGCAGGAAGGAACTGATTCAGATACAATTCTGCTTAATATCATTAATTCATTCAACAAATCCTGACTGAATACCTGCCTGTTCTAAGCACTGTCCTCATGATGCTTACAGTCTAGCAAGATATGAAATAATTGTATAAATCATGGGGGAATAAATGTGATCAATACCATAAAAGAAAAGTATGGGGTGCTGTGACACTATACATACAACAGAAGCCCCGACTTTAGATGGCAGGGTGTCAGAGAGGACCTCCAGGTCCTAGGAGAGGAGAGAGCCTATGCAAAGGTCCTAAGGAAGAAATTAGCTTGATGCCTTTGAGAGACTAAAGGATGGTGGGTTTGCCCAGTATGCAGGTGATGGTCTCATTTTGTCAGCAATGGCCTGTTCTTCCTGGGATCTGCCTGCGGGGATAGGAGGGAAGAAGGGGACATCCTCCATGTTTACAATTTAACAACCTTTTGCCAAGGATGGCGGGCGCAGACAAGCCTGACCTGGACTACTGATGGAACCAGCTCTGTCCTCAGTGTCTGTGTCCAGAAATCTTGAACCTGGTCACCTTTCCTCCGGCGGGTATAATTCAGAGATCTAGTCACTACAAGTCACTCTGTCTTGGAGCTGTTGGGATAGCTGCAGAAAGAGACAATGGAGGCCAAGACAGATTCCAACAAGGAGGGTTTTAGAGATGTGATTTGTGTGGTCGTGGCTATGGGCTTCACCAGCGCAGCACAGAGGGATGGAGGCCATCTCCCCCTTCCCTGAAGCCCTCCCCAAGCCCCACGGAGCCCGGGCCTCGCAGAGGAGGCGGGGGCACAGGGCTGGCTTGCTGTGAGAAACCTGGCTGGAGGAAGGAGTTAAGAAGGCCAGGCTGATGGCCACAGAGACAGATTGGTGTTTATCCAGGAAAAGAGGTCGTACGTAGGCAACGAAGGCCCCTGCCAGCTCCTCCCAGAAGGACTGGTCTGGGGGAGTAAACCGAAGAGGAAGCTACTCCCCGGGGCTCTGAACGCCTCCGGGCCAGAGGCCAAGACCCAACGGCGGCCCAGAGGTGAGGCCTGCAGTCTGGGCACCCGACCGAGCCCGCGGTGGGCTCAGACTCCCAGGCAGCGTCGGAACAACGGGGGTGAGTGCGAGGTGGCGGAGCCTCGGGGAGCCAGCTGGGGGTGGCGGAGAATCAATACCGCCTTTGTGCTCAGTGGTTTCCTAGGGAGAAAAGAATGGAGAGTGGGAGGGGCGGTCCAGCGGCCCGGCTCCGCCCCGCGAACTTTGGATGTGGTGGGGCTGGCGGGCGGGAGAGGGACCTTCAGGGCTAAAGGCGGGTGGGAGTCTGTGCGCCCCCACCCCGCCCCCGGGGGCGGGAATCTCCTTGGACCAGCGGGACAACAGCCAGGTGTGCAGCAAGTCAGCTTTTGGCTGGAGCAACTGGGGAAGGAGAGGGAGGAGCAAGAGGGGGCAGGTGGGGCTGCGGCCGAAGGATGGCTCAGCCTGGAGAAGCTTTCGGTGGACAGGGGATGGCAGCCTGCGGGATCCCAAGGGCCTCCAGATTAGACCTTGGAGGAGACCCCGAGTATTCGGAATGGGCGGGAGAGAGGAGGCCGGCCAAGGGTCTGTGTCCCTCCAGGGGGAGTGTGTGTATGAATGGGGTTCAGGACCTGGGTCCCTGTTTACAATGACAGGCCCTAAGCGGGTGTTACTCTCCTCTCCTAATAGGAGTCTAGGACTCCAGTGGGTTGTTGGGCCTTCTAACTCTGAAGTGGGTGACATCTTTAGTACCAACGGGCGAGTCTGTGCACTTGGAAGTCCCAAGGCTTGCATCTGAAAATGTGTCTAGCCCAGGGCTCCCTCCATTTCTCCACGGGCCCCCAGACTTCGCCGCCCTTGATTCTCCTGCTCAAATAGAGGCCCGCGCTGGCCATGGGCCCGGGGAGAGGCCGCGGCGGCCGACGGCCTGGTGTACTTTCGCAGCATCACACCCAGCTCTCTCTTCTCTCCTAGTCCAGCCCAACTCCCCAGGCCTCCACGAAGACGCTGCATTCGGAACCTTTGGCCTCAGAATTCGCACTTTCATCACCCCCGCATGTGGCTCTTGGAGAAAGCTGGCTACAGGGTGGGGACCGCGGAGCCCAGGGGCCGGTGGACGCCCGGCAGCCTGTTCCCGAAGCGCCGCACCCCGGGCCCGCCCGCACGCGCCTGCCCGAACGTCCTCACCCCCGACCGCATCCCGCAATTCTTCATTCCGCCCCGGCTCCCGGACCCGGGGGGCGCCCAGCCCCAGCCCCAGCCCCGGCGCGAGGCGGGCGGGCGCGGCCTCCCTGCGGCCTGCTCCCTGCCGCACCTGGCGGGCCGCGAAGGCTGGGCCTTCCTGCCGGAGAGCCCGCACACGCGCCGGCGCGAGTCCCTGTTCCACTCGCCGCCGCCCACCCCGGCCGAGAGGCTTCGCCCGGCGCCGGCCCGGCTGCACGTCTCCACCCCGGACCTGCGCCTCTGCTGGGCCCCCGACAGCGACACGGCCTCGTCGCCCGACTCGTCGCCCTTCAGCTCGCCGCGGCCCGGCCAGGCCCGGGCCCGGCCGTCCAGGCCGCACTCGTTGTCCCCAGAGGAGGCGAGCTCGGCCGACACCAGCCCGTACGCCCCGCGCCGCGCGGAGCCGCCGCCGCTCTTCCACCTGGACTTCCTGTGCTGCCGGCTGCCGCCGACCAAGGAGAGCGTGCTGCGCCTCGGGCCCCGCGGCGGGCAGCTGCGGCTCTCCGCCGAGTACCCGGCCGGGCCCGGGCGGCTGCGGCTGCGCCTGGTCAGCGCCGAGGGCCTGCCCCGCTCGCGAGCCGGCGCCGGGAACGGCGGCGGCTGCTTCGTGGTGCTGGGGCTGCGGCCGCGCGTGCAGCCGCGGGGCCAGCGGAGCCGCGTGGTCAGGCGCAGCGCCAACCCCATCTTTAACGAGGACTTCTTCTTCGACGGGCTCGGCCCGCCAGACCTGGCCGCCCGCAGCCTCAGGGCCAAGGTGCTGGACCGCGGCGCAGGGCTGCGCAGGGACGTGCTGCTGGGGGAGTGTGAGACGCCCCTGATTGCCCTGCTGCCCCCCGTGGGTGGGGGGCTAGGTCCAGGGGCCTCTCTGGCGCCTGCTCATCTCAGCCTCTAGACGCAGACCTCTTCCTCGGGAGCTCTCCAGCGGGTCTGCAGTCTCCATCTCCCCTGCATGTATTTATTTTTGCTGATAAAATAAATTTTATCCGTTAGTGGGATAGCTCCACTTTTTGGCACCCTACACACACTCAGGCCTGCAGCCTGCCCTCCTCCCTCTGCTCTGGCCGTACAGGTATGGGAGAAGCTCATTCAGCTTGTCTTAGTTGGAGCAGACCTGAAGTAGTGGTTCTCAAACTTAAAAGAGCATCCGAATAACCAGACATCAAAAACCCTGAAGTACCTTGTTAAATATGCAGAGTCCTGGGCTCCAACCCCAGAAAACGCTGCTGCTGCCGCTAACTAGTTTCATAGGTCTGGGCTAAGGAGGAGCTAGGGTCACTGAACAAGGCCCGCACCCAAATCACTGAGTCACTCCAGAAAACGTTCTGTTACTGAAACCAACGTAAGTCACCTTCCCCTGGGGGCTCCTTTGGGCTGTACAAGGGAGATCAACCCTCCCTCACCCACCCACCTCCCTTCTCCAGCCACATCTGTCCTGAAGAGAGATGAAATGTGACTTGGGCCCTAGCCGGTTTGGCTCAGCGGTTAGAGCGTCGGCCTGCGGTCCTGAGAGACCCAGGTTCGGTTCCCGCTAAGGGCACGTACCTCGGTTGCAGTTTGTCCCCGGCCCTGGTTGGTTGTGCGGTGGCAACCACTCGATGTGTCCCTTCACATCGATGTTTCTCTCTCTCTGTTCCTCTCTCTCCCTCCCACTCTACCTGAACAAAAAATGGAAAAATGTCCTCGGGTGAGGATAAAAAAAAAAAAAGAAAGAAAGAAATGTGGCTTGGGAGTGCCTTTAAGGTGTCCTCTCTCTTGCCTGTCCCTTCCACACCTGTGCCACCCTGGGCGGGGCAAAGCCAGAGCTCAGAACTGGAGCAGCATTTGGGAATGACTAAGATATACTGTCCCAGGAATTGAGATCATGGGGGAGAAAAGGGAGTCCTACCTGAGTGTGAGAGCTGGGGGATGCCCAGAAAAGGGCACCCCAGTGAGAAGAGGGAGGGTGTGGAAGATAGATGAATGAATGTAGGTCAGATTGTGTTTACCCCCTATCTGAATGTCTCTGACGTTAGCACTGACCTTCTTCTCTGTCTCTCTACCTTTCCTGGAGCTGGTTCCTCTTGGCTCAGGCCAGGCTTGGAGGAGGGGAGGGGGGGAGGAGAGGAGGAGGAGAGGAGGGAGGCACTGAGCCAATTGAGCTTCTTTTGCCCTCCTACTTGGGCCCATTCTCTCTCTCTTTTTTTTTTTTTTTTTCCAATTGATTTTTTAGAGAGAGAGAAACATTGATGTGAGAAACACTGATCGGCTGCCTCCTGCATGTCCCCTATTGGGGATCAAACCCGAAATCCAGGCATGTACCCTGACTGGGAATTGAACCTGGACCTCTCAGTCCACTGAGGCACACTGCCAGGCCCTTCCTCATTTTCCACAGTGCCCTAAACCAGGGCTGAGCCTGCTGGATCCTGATAAACTTCAGCATGTATAATGCTAACACAACACACACACCTCTCCATTCAGATTGCTCCCCAGTTCCTCCTTCCTCCTCTGATTAGCATCCCCCACCCCGGCGCCTAGCCCTAGGCCTCCTAGGCCAGGGGCATGGCTTGCTCCAGGTGTCCAGCAGGTGGTAGCATTCACCAACAAGATTATCACCAGGCAAAGAACTACTGTTCCAACAACTTGTAAAGTCATTTATTCCTACTGGCAACTCCCTTGAGGGCTAAGTACTATTGAGTTCAATGTGACCTTGGACTCTTCTAGTGAGGAATTAAGATTCAAACTCAGAGAGTCTGGCTGCTGCCGCTTCCCCATCAGGTCACTCTGAAAGGGGTCTCCTGCTTCCAACCTTCCAACCGAACCCCATCCCTGGTACTGTCCGCTGCTTCAGCCCCAAATCTTCTTGTAACAACCATTTAAAAATAACTGGAAAAAAATATCGAAGACATTCAACCTTCACTCAGGCATTCTTCAACAAATACTTAGGGAGGACCTATGAGGTAATTGGCATAGGGTATGGCAATAGTCAAATTAAATGTGGAGATCAGACAAGATACAAAATAAATAAGTTAAATGTAAAAAACGTCCCTGGCCCTGGCCGGTTTGGCTCAGCGGTTAGATCATCGGCCTGTGGTCCAGAGAGATCCGGGTTCGGTTCCCGCTAAGGGCATGTACCTCGGTTGCAGTTTGTCCCCGGCCCTGGTTGGTCGTGTGGGTGGCAGCCACTCGATGTGTCCCTTTCACATCGATGTTTCTCTCTCTCTCTCTTCCTCCCACTCTATCTCAACAAAATGTTGAAAAATGTCCTCGGGTGAGGATTTAAAAAAAAAAAAAAAAAAGTCCCTGGGTGATACGTTATAGAGAAAAATAAACCGGAAAGGGGGCATAAGAAAGGGGAGTCAGATAAAGAGAAGAAAGGAAGATTACAGGAATGGAGGGGGAGGAGGTCATGTATTCACCTGTGTCAGCCCAGTTAATTGTCACATCCACTCAGTGAGGTAGATGTATCCCCATTTTACCCAGGAGCTAGATCAGAGAGATGACATAAATTTGCCTGGGGATCAGCCTAGCTGCAGGGAAAATTTAGGACTATAGCTCCATCCAGAACCCCCACTGACCCCTCTACTCAGGAGACCGTGAGGTAGAATTCAAGTCCACCCCATTAAGGAGCACTTCACTCAGTACTCATAGCTGTGAACTGTCCCCCTGTGATGGGAGCCACAATGTTCCTGGAGAACTTCCTGGCTAGCTAGCCACAGAAACATGCCCTGGGGCCACACAAGGTCCTAAGAACACCTCCTGTGTTGACTGCTCTGGCCTCCAAGCTCAAACACTTTCACAAACACAAGTCAGAACTGTTTTGTAACTGAGGACTAATAAGTGGGGGACACATTCTTACCCAAGTCTTTTGGCCCCTGCTTTTCGACCCTCTTTGCTGTGTCCAAGCCTAACTGACCACAGATGTGAATTAATAGATGAGTGGTATAGGCAGGGTTATCATGGTAAGTTCAGGGCCAAGAGCTGGGGTCAAACTCCAGCCAGTTCTTCACCCACAGTGGCCTTTGTGACAGGAAGGGGGTGGGGTAGAGGCTGTGAGATCTATAGATGTTTATAGAGATTTGGTTGTCCTTTTTTTAATGGATGAGGGGAGAGGGGGTGCCATCCCCTCTTTGAGTCATTCCAGTTGGTTAAGATCTTTCCAGACATGCACCTCCTAGAGAAAACCCCAAGAAAGCTAGTCCCTAATCACTGGATCAGGCTTCCCAGAGAGGGTGGCCCTCAAAGGATGGTTGTCCAGGACCTACATACTGTTCACCTTCACAGCCCCAGGCCCTCCCTAGAAGGCCAGGCTTGCATTGAGCTTTATGTGGTTTCTGTGGTTTAGGGGGTGGGGAGGAAGGGAAAGAGAAGTTGGTGACTGCTCCCCAGTTCCAAGCCACACCAACACTCTCCACCCCCTCCAGTCTGCTTATCCCCTGCGTTGAGATGCCCCAACCTGATAAGGGGACCTGGGCACTTTGGGGGTGGTGGTGAAATGATTCTCTTGATCCCTATCGCCCTCCTCCTTGCATAAGAATATAAGAATATATTTGAGAAGGAAATACCAACTGCCCTCTTTTGAAAGGGCTGTGATTTGGAGCAGGAGGGAGAAATGTTAGGCCTGAAGGGGGACTTCCCAAAAGGATGACCAAGGTACCTTTTTGCCCCGGAGAGAAAGAACCCAGTCACCCATGCTTAAGGCAGGAAAGGAGTAGAGACATGAGAATGTCTAAGCATGTGACTCACTTAGGCCTAGAGGCCAGGACCTTGTCTTCCAACCCCCTGTCTCCCTCCTCACTTCCTCCCCATCCCACACAATGGTACAAAGTGGCACAGCTGGGAGAGGCAGCCCTACCTGATATCTGGGGCAGGCAGGGCTGCCTGGCACAGTGGCAGGATCAAGTGCCCATCCCAGACACTCGGCATGGTCTCACTCTGTGTCCAGGATTGGGAAGTCAGGGAAGGCCTGGGAGACCCAGAGTCACTGAAGAAGAGGGGCTCAAAGAGGAGAAGAGACAGAGAAGGAAGAGCTGGAGAAGACAGAAAACGAAAGTGCCATACACAGGGAGAGTCTGCAGGGAGAGACAAAGAGAGGACACTGAGGGGAAGCACACCGTCATTTGAGGGAAGGGAGAGCAGGACATCACACCCCAGCACTGTCCTGAACCCCATCCCGCTGCCTTTTGCTGGCTCTCTTTATCTGCTGGCGGGTGCTGGGTGGGGTGGTATTTTGGAGAGCTTTGCTTCTCACTCCCACCCTGCCCCAGGACAGAGCCCCAAAACAGACCAACATCCTGTTCTGTGCAGAAAAGTGCACATAGACACGTGGGCCACACATTTACCAAAAGGACCCCACGTCAGAGGCTCAGAGGCACGAACACAACCCTCAGGCTCGCCATCCAACAAGGTCTCCCAAAGTTTCCACTTCACCCTTCCTCACTTCCCATCTCCTTGTCAGCCATCTAGGGAGTTGGAAAGTCATCCTCTACTTCTAACTTTGTCCCTCAAGCTGCGGCCATCGGGAGACTCCGGAGCTACCCAGGAACAGAGGTGCTGAGGGCAGCAGAGCGTGACGCTCCAGGGCCTGGCAGGAGTGGAGGATGCCTAGGTGGGAGGGCCCAGAGGGAAGGGGCAGCTGCCTGCCCTCTCCACGCCCGGTGCCACGTGCGTGAGGTGGGGGGGAGTGGGCGAGTCACGAGGCTGTGGCATGGCTGGCTTCTGCTCTGCTGTTTACCAGCTGGGAGGGAGAGCAGGAGGAGGTGCCAGGGAGCCTCCCCACTGCAGCCTGGCCCCTAGCCAGCTGGCCTGTTGGGTAACCAGGAGAGCCAGGCCCAGCTAATCAAACTCTAGGCCAGGGCAGTGCAGGAGAGAAGTGGCATCCAGAACCCGCTGAAGCCTCATCCCGCAGCCCTCCCC